GATGCCCGGCGTGGTGAGGAGCAGCCCCGGCCTGCGTGTGGCCACACACTCAGCGGAGCGGGAAGCAAGCTGTCTTACTGGGGAGTTGGGCTCTGCCTCCCAGCCGTCGTTGGTCCTATCCTCTGTGCACCTATGGCCTTGCCTGGTGGCTGACTGTGCTGTCTGCTGACCGCGTCCCTGGGGCTTGGGTGCCCTCCTGGGCCTCTGCTGGCCCAAGCTGCCCTGTCTGGAGGAGAATGACGGCAGCAGGAGAAGCTGTGGCCTCCGGGCCTGATGCCTCCTGGACCCCAGCGGATATAGCCTTTCTCCCTGGCCCCACAACTGCAGAGGGATGTCCTGTCCTCTTGGCTGTGTGGCCTCTGCCACCTGGACTGCAGCCTGGAGGGCCAGAGAAGCAGCAGCCACGCATCAGCTGAAGTGATTCCATTACAGCGCTGATTTAATCTGAACGGTCATTAGTGTGATTTATGTAGCTGCTGGGAGTCCTTGCTCCCAGATTTGCCTCCTTGCACTTGATGTTGATTGAAAGACAACAGAGCAGCCTGGAAGGGGGGTGCTGCCTGTGCACTCCGGGACTCCATGCTCCACCCTGCTCCCCTCTCCCCTGCAGAGGCTCCAGGCCAGGTGGGAAAAACACCGGGCAGAGGAGGAGTGGAGGCCCATCCTGTTCTCCATATGCCAGACCCAGGACCTCCCAGTCTCTGTGGCAGATGGGGCCGAAGAACCAGGAAGCCCCCAGCAGCCTGCAGCTCTGACACCACCTCCTCCAGGGGCTGCAGCTGCCTGGGGTCTTGGGGCATGTGTGTGGGCCTGGGCTGAGCTGGAGAGCATCTGGGTGATCCCCCTTCCCCAGCCCTCATGCCCTGGAGCACAACACTTCAGGGCCATGGCTGCAGGGCCAGTGCTAGGATGAGACGGGTCACCTGTCACACCTGGTGGGCACACCTGCTGGAGAGTGTGGGAAGGCTGGGGAGGGTCCGCATTCTGGGCCTCCTCATCTGAAGTGTCATGTTCACGTGGCTGACTCATCCAGGCCAGGGGTGGCTGCAGGAAAGAGTCCCTGCCCCTGCCCAGTGGTCAGGCAAAAGGTCGGGGCTGGCTGCCTCTCCCACCTGCCTGCATTGGCATCTCTGGAGCCACACTGCCCCCTGCTGCTGCCAGTGGAGGTGGCAGGAGCTGCTAGTCAGGCGGTTCCAGCTGCCCTGGTGCCCTGGTGAGCACAAGGGAAACCAGGTGGGCTCACGGCTGGAGCTCGGCCACTGCCAGCCAGGTCCTCTGTCCCCAAGGCGAGGGTGGCCAAGGCCAAGGTCAGGGCTGCAGGCAGGAAGACCCCCGCCCCAGCAGTCAGAGGCTTGGGGCTCAGCCATACCTCTGGAAAGGGGCTGCAACCCCCAGCCCCTCTGCCCACTGCCTGTGGAACCAGGGTTGACTACTGGCCAGTGGACTGCTGGTCCAGGTCCTCGGGACTGCAGGGGCCTGGGCAGCCAGCAGCACCGCCCCCCCAGCAGCTCCTCTGATCTGCTGTTTGTGTCCATCTGTCTGTCCATAATTTTGAATGCCCAAGACTTTTGAAACAGACTTGGCAAGTGAAGATTCTTTTGTGTCTGTAGGGAGTATCCGGGGCTCTGAACAAAGGCAGCGTTTCCCACCCCGCAGCACCACTGGGGCTTCCTGCACTGTGCCCCATGGCCACCAGAGGGCGGGCGGTGGCCTGGACACTGGGACAGGTGTCCTAGGCAGGGATGTGGGGACCACCAGCCCTGGGTCCAGCCCCAGCCTGTCTCTGCCCTGGGGGAGGGTGTTTAAGGGGCAAGAAGCCCCTTTGCAGGACCCCACTGTCCTTCCAGGCCCAGGGACTGAGGGCATTCAGCCTTCCTGACTGACCCCCAGGCCAGGTTTAGTTCCCTCCTGCCCCCTCCACCTGCACCTGAGCCCCAGGGAGCTGGCTCACCCTGCCTGTCCCGAGTGCTCAGCTGCACCCCTACATCTCTGCAAGGAATCCCTGGACCTGTCAGGGACACTGAGGAAACCGTGAGGGCAGAACACCTAGCCTGCAGTCCTGTGTGCATGCCCATTTGCCTGACTGTAAACGTGCGCTATGACCTCCTATGCTCATTGCATGGTTTGCAGTGGGGCAGCCTTGGCTCTGCTGAAAGGCAGGCCACTGCCCCCACCTGTTCCTGAGAGCTGGAAATTCGGTGGCACTGCAGTGGAGTGCGAAAGACCCCTCCACAAGCCAGCAGGCACCCCGCTGCACCCTATGCGGCCCTGGGTGTGGACTGAGCACAGGAAGTGGCATTGCCCTAGGAAGCTGGGTGGGAGTGGCTCTGATTTCAGGAGGGCTACGGGGACCCCAGATGCCCCAGAAGGTAACAGGAGGTGCGGTCAGCCTGGGAAATCTGACGGGGCACCAAGACCTCGGCTGTGGGAGGACCTGGGTGCTTGCCATGCTCATCAGTGCCACGGATCCAGCCTCATGGCTCGCATGTGGGACATATACCCCACACATGTCCCCACCAGGGCACCAAAGCAGTGGAGGGGCAGGGCAGGGGCAAATTCCAGAATGTCCAAGGCTGCAGAGTTGAGAGGGGGGCGGGGCAGTCCAACGTGGGGGGTTGGACCTGGGGCCTGCGGGGTGCAAGGAGGGTCGGAGGCCCCACATCCCACGGCGACAAGGGCTCTTGTGCAGGTGACCGTCCCACGGTCGGATGTGGCCATTGGACAGGACCTTGCTCAGCTCCCTGAACCCAGCACCTCCCTGCCATGGGGCCCCAGGACAGGCCTGGCCTGCTCTGTCAGTGCTGTGTGGGCAGCAGAGGGGCAAGGCCTGGGGAGGAGCATGGTCCACGAGCCCTCTTGCTGCAGGGGTGCTCCCACCCTGTCCCTGCACTAGCAACTGAGAAGACCTGAGACTGGTGGAGGGCAGCACCCCAGTTTCCTCCAGAGCCTCAGAAGCATGGGCCCCAAGGGGACTGTTCCCAGCCTTCCTCCTCCCCCGTGTGGGTGACCAGGTGCCACCCTGCAGGGTGCCTGCCCCACCCACAGCAGCTGACAGCCCTCCAAGCTGGCCAGGGCACAGCAAGCTGACAGCAGCAGAGGCACTGTGCTCCTAGGGCAGAGGAAGGGGTCTCAGCAGGGCCAACAGCCCCACACCCCATGCTGCTGCTCAAGAAAGCCAGTGGCAACTCCTGCTGTGGGCCTTCCAGGCCCAGTTTAGGGAACCCATTCTCCCCATCCAGAGGACAGTGGGTGTGATCCGTAACCAAACCACTGCCACATCCAACAGGAGGCCAGAGGGATGAGTAGGAGACTAGGCACCAGCAGGAGGAAGGCACTGCAGACAGTGGGCCTGGAGGAACAGAGGGGCTGGAGAGGCTGGGGGCAAGCAATCGATGACACGGGAGCTGGGGCAGAAGCTGCTGGGCGGAGCTGCTGAGGGGTGCATGACACGGGAGGCAGGTGGCACGTGGGCAGGTGAAGAGCCCAGCCAGGTTCCTGTGGCGGGCATGAAGGCTGCAGGTCTGGCGGGGAGTATAGGGGGAGGGAATGAGGGAGAAGCCCTGCCCAGGACCTTGGGCACAGCTAGGGTCTCCTGCTCACTTACCTTGTCCTCGCTGGCCTCGGCCCTCGGCCCACAGATCCCAGGGGGTGCCCAGGGCCCCGCTGTCAGGGGCATCATTTCTCCCATCCTCGTGGGGACAGGAAGCCTTCCTCCACTGGCAGCACTGAGCTCCTGCTGCCGGTGCCCTCCTGGCCACGTATTCAGAGGGGGACCACGGGGACCACCCAGGCCACGGGGCCTGGAAGGGAAGAGGGACCGCCAGGGCCAGCTGAGGACAGTACCTGAGTCCTGCGATCACCACGAGGGCGGGACAGCCTGCGGGGTGCGGCCACGCAGGGAGTCAGCCGGAGAGCTGGGCAGGGCCAGGCAAGAGGAGCCGAACCAGCCTGAGCCACAGGTGAGGGGCGCTCCAGACCGTGAGACCCCACCGGAGCCATTCTTAAGCCGGGGCCTCTGCGCGGATGAGTCCCCGAGTCACCCCGTCACGCGCCGCATCTGCCCAAGGGTTGCCTCAACCCCAACCCTAACCACACCCCGAGGGCACGCCAAGGAACAGCTCTCCCTGCCCTCCATTCGACCCGCTTTCCCCCTCCACCCTCGGCTCCTGCCAGCTGCCAGCTCTGGACCGACTGAGCGGCTCCCGCTCAGCGCTGGGCCCCGCCCCGCCCCC